CTTGTGATGGTCTCAACTACAACATTTAAACAGATTGATCTATCTACGAATCATCTGTATTTAATAACGTGCAACACCCAAAGCAGCTATCATCTCTGCCACTGACTACTGTTTAAGACACAAACTTACATTCCTCATAATGGTGGTGTGCCAATTCCCTCTTCCCCCAATAAATCTGCATAAAATTCCCACCAAAAGTGTTGCCTGAGTCAAGTTAGTGGTAATGTAAATTTGTTTTGGGGAAATGGGCTGTGTTGTTCTCAACATCTTGCAACTCCATGTGACTCTGTTTGACTTGTTTGGTGGATTTAAAACGTATCAATCAAGGGTAGCTGAGCCAGTCTAAAGTGTATTCAAGCAGAAGAACCTTAACAGGTTTTTTGGTAATTTTTTTCTCCTGTTGAGATCAATCTCCATGATTGATGGGAATGTCCTGAAATGACAATATCGCTGTCGATCTTAGAAAAATTGCGGAAACTAGAAAAACCAGGAGCACATGGTGCCCCGTGCATGTGCACAGCAGCACGTCAATGGGAACTATAAACACCCTACTTTCTAGCACTCTTGGGGAAAAGATGGCGTGTCAACGTAAATTTCATCCAGCGTAAATAGGATACAACGTGCCAGGCATGAACTCTGTCCACCGAGGGGTATTTTGGAGCCACGAGTGTGCTCCAAATCATGAGAGTAATGAAAACTTCCACGTATCAAGCTTAATTCTCTTTGCCAGTTCCTCTCCTGAGGCAAACACATGAAATTCAAATTAAAGAAATGTTTCAAAGTTCAGTCCTTCAACTGTTTAACCTTTTTTCACGGGAGGTGATATCAACCAAACTGGACAGAATGAGTCAGCAAGCCAGTAGACAACTGAAGGAACTGACAGGAAACTGAGAATATCTTCTCGTGTCCTCTGAATTTTAACCTTTTAAGAGCAGCCCTGTAGAGGGGCCTATCACCTTAAAACTTGTCAAGACCTAGACACTCTCTGATACTGCAATGAAGCAATGGCCTTTCGTGATCTTCACAAGTCATCTATAAGGCTGTCCAAACTCATGCAGCCTCAAGTCACAATCGACTCAGATGAACTGTGAAAATCTCAGTTGTTATTTATCTCATGATTTGACAGTTTGAGACCAGACCAGACAAGTTACAAAACTAGAATGCTGCAGTCCAGCGATTTTACAGGATTCCAATCTAGACATTTCTGTAACAAGCAATTTTATCACAAATTGAAGCTCTCTAACTCATCACAAACTATTTTGGTCCTGCTCCAATTCAACAACTTTCCTTTCCTAGTCAGTGGCAAATCATTTAAAATCACTTCAAATCTGACATGTCAGGTTGGTTTATGGGTCTTTCTGTTCCCTTCAACTTTTATGGTCTTGGCTCAATCCTATCCAGGTTATATACACCTACAGGGATCAGTGGTCTCGAGGTGATCAAGTACATTGTTTATCCGCCTGCTTGTTCTCAGGGGATTACTTTCCATTTTTGAAACTGATATTTCCTTCCCTGATGGTTCTCCGGCCCAGGTTGGGCCCCAGTGGAGAAAGCTTCACTAACATGATTGATCAGGACACCCGTGAGACATTGTTGATGAAATGCAGATTTGAAAAATGAGCACTTTTGGTTTGGGAATTCATAAAAATTTAATTTTACCTCTGCTGAAGGGAGTGTGGGCACTTCGCTGGATGTTGTTGGCTCCGTGGGGGAGCAGGTCCAAGGAAGAGTCATCACTCTCCGAACTTGCCAGGCTCAGACTCACGCTAGCGTCCAGGTCTTCGCTGTCCGAGGGCAGCCGAGGAAAGGGCTGGGACGGGATCTTCCGTGATGGTTTGCTGATCCTTCCACTGGCCGCCTTCTTTTTCTTCTGACCAACTTCTGCTGATAGAAAAACAATATTTCCCATCTCATGAGAACAATTCTTTCAGGAGGAGGACAATTAAAAATCTTTCAAGTCCTACAATATTTCATTACAATGAGGAAAATAACCTTTCCAGTTTAGTAACGTTTATCACAATTACTCCTGAAAAAAAGGCAACAACTAACATCTAGCTAAAGAGGTGCCAACTTGCAATGCCAAAGGGTTACATTAAAGGGCTGTTCTCTCAGGTATTACATATCTGAATTACCTTGGGAGAGGGATGAACTTTAAAGTTCTGAAAATCTGTTTCAGGGACAGCCAAGATGGGGAAGGGGTACCAAGGAGGAGAGAGGATTCCTCTGTGTCATTGTGAGTAGGTGAAAAATAAAGACCTGACCCTTGTTGGCTCCAATGCCAAATCAGTTTGCAATTTCAGAGAGTTGACTGTTTTTCTCAATTTAAATCACTTGACACCTGTGATTCACTTGATGTAAGACAGAATCGAATCGTGCCACCAAAGTACAGCATGTCATCCCCCTTAACTCATCTTCAAAGAATCACATTTTACAACTCGGGAATTACCCTGACCCTGCCAGACCTTTTAAATCGGCCAGGAGGTTCTGGAAGTTGGTCAAGACAGACATGAGCTGCCATTACTTCTGGTTCTTGGAGGCCTTGTTGCCATGAAAACTAATGAAGTCATTTTTGAGTTGTGCACATGGGAGGAGTTTGGAGGAGTCCCGTACACTTCCCTGGCAAAAATGACAAGGAAGTACAGCACATGCCCCAAACACAATCCATTCCAGGGCTTCGTAAATACAGTCATCAAATTCACACGTCTGAAACAACATACCTCCAAAAAAACTGAGAGAAAAAAAAAACCACACACACAAACTGCAGAGTGATTCTGCAAAAGGGATAAATAATGACAAGTATGTGGATGTCAACCATTCCTCCAAATCCATTGCCAAATTGAGATGGTAACTCCATCTTTGATGCACTAGTATTTCAAATTGCTTGTAGAAATTTCACTTGGATGCTTAAAACTGGAATCTCATCATCTATGGGCAGTGACCCTATATGGCAGGTTCTTTATGTTTAATTAAAATCGGTGAATCCCCATGAAAATCAGTGAATCTTCATATGAAACAAATAAAACTTGGTTACACAAACCTTGACCTATCAAAAACTGCATCAAAACCAGGAGATGGATTGGGATTGCTTAACATGCTTAAAGGTAAGTCGCGATTCTAAATATACATTCACTGGCGCCAGTTATCCAAAGTCTTTGAAGCGAAATTTGCCATGTGATATCAATTTTTGGGGGTTCAAGGTAACGTGAGAAAGGTAATCTGTGTTCTTGTCACATCACCCAGCTAGGGTAACTACTCTCCAAAGTTTAACCAGTTTTTGCAGGAAAGAAGCAGGGAGCAAATTGGTCTAACTTATTAGCCCACAATTGCTGACAGGTGTCTAGCGCAAATGATGCACATGCCGAGACTTCCTACCAAAGCGACGGAAGTCCAATTTGATCTTCCCCATTTTTGACAAATCCAACGTGCAGGAGGAATTGTTGATGAAAAACTTGTGTGGGATAAATCAGAAGGTCTGCCATCAATTTTTGGGGCCATCCTGGATGGAAAGCCCTGTAAATTCCCATGTTTTCTCCAAATTCGAGGTTTTGAGAGGGCCAGGGGAGGGACGGGGTGTTATTTCATGTGTCATTTATGATGCAAATTTTAGAATTTTTAGTGGGCCGAATGACACCAGGGCAGTCTTGATGAAATGGTGCCGGTGAATTTATGGTTTTTGTCTGCCGAGGCAACAAGACAAACAATTACAGAGCCTTTCCTTTTCTTCTGGCATGGTAACAGGGGCAGCAAAAATCGTTTGTGATCATTTCATCATGCGAAATGATAAATGCCAGAACACCCAACCGTGGTAATGTAGAGAACCATGCCCGAGTAAGGGCGACCTCATCCTTCTAGTAACGTGACAGAGGCAATTCACATAACGATGATACTTTTTGGCGTTTCCCGTGCACACAGTGTCAACGCGCTCTCTTTCTGTGGGTTTTGAATGGTGTAGAGCCGTACCATATTCTCTCTGCATTTCCTTCGATTTTGTAGGGAGCATGGCTCCGGCCATGCTCCTAATGTAAGTCATGGGGAGGGCATCCTTCAGTAATTGTTGTAGCTATATTTGGTATGATCATTTGTCGAAGATATTGTGCGATTTTCAGGGCACAATGTGACAACGGTTAATAATTGTATCGTGTATTGTGCAGTGCCCGACTGACCTTGTTTACATGTGATTTTTGACATTAGTCACAACTGTCATTGCATTGTAACATCTCTTACTGTGCCTTCCTGCTATTTGTGCACTTACTTTTACTGTTAATAAATCACACATGTAGTTGAGCATGTTAAGGACAGTGATGTGATTTATGTAGGGCTATATCTATCTGTTTCTTGGATAGGTTGAGAGTTGCTCGTCCGCTTTGATTAGGGGACCGTTCCTCCTTCCTCCCACCGTCCAACTGACGAGGGGCTGACTCACTACAGTAAAAACGACGGAAACATTTAATGATAAACACTACAAGATTTTGACCCTCATACTAGCATTTTAGATGAACCCTACATTCCATTTTGACTGAGAAAGGCACAAGGTGGTCTTCTAGTGATAGACCCAAGACAGCACATGTAAGAGGCTCTGAGTACCAGGGCAATACCGAGTGGATGGCTTACTGGATAACAAGTTCAAAGGAAAGTTTTAAAAAAGGGGGGAAAAGAAAAAAGGGCTCTTTAGAAGGTTTTGCAAAATTCACGTAAAAAAAGTTGGCTGAAGAAATGTTCCAGTGACACAAATTCCCGAGCAATTGATATTCAGGCATCACCAGCTCTGCACTATTGTTTTGTATTTCAATAAATTCCTTTGGAATTTGAATTCCATTCTCTTCATTGTTCAAAGAAGAACAGGAAGTCATGGTCGCTGAACACCCGAACTAATTTTTCATTTGACCTGAACTCAATCACAATGCAACTTGCATTTTTCCTTTTTTGCTGTATCATTTTTGTCTTACTCAAGAGTCGAAACAGGATATTTGAAGTACGGCTCCTGGGATGGACGGATTGAGCCCTCAACGCACCCCTTCCGACAGAAACCAGTCAACTTGGAGTCCGCCAAAAACAATATTCTGTTATCTATCCAAGGGCCACACAGACCCCCCAACATCAAATGGGATCCCAGCTGAAGTTACAAGGTTCAGGCAAGCTCTAGCTGTCTGGTAGTCTGCCTCACCACAGCTGGAATTACAGTAAATCAGCTTTGGCAGAATATTTGCCTCTAACCCTCCCCCCCCAACAGTTTGGTACATTCCAGCCCATGGGGACTCCCATTGGTTTGAGCCCTTGGGACCTGTAGTCCGAGTCCTCAACCAGGACAATTGCTTCTGCATTATAATAACAATAATCACAAGCACTTGTAGAGCGCCCTCTATCTAGCAAACTATTCTGAAGCACTGTATTATCATTATCCCTGCACATTGGGCTCACACATCATCTGGACATTCCCGAAATCACCTCAACTCCCTGGGGAGTATACTAGCCTGGTGCTGCCATTTTGGTGCAAACAGCTAAACATAACCGTGTCTGCCCTCACAGTTACCCATTTACTTCTGGATGGAGACAGGCACATAAGAGTAAACTGACTTGCCCAGGATCACAACAAGCTGCCAACAGCTGGATTCGAACCCCTGACCCTATGATCCCAAGCTACAAATCATAATCACTAGGCCACATGCCTTCTATCAAGTTTGAATTGTTTTAACCACTGGTGAGATGGCAGCAAGGTGCTGTATTTGCCCAGAGGAGCAAAAGATAATCTGTGAAATCCTCCACTGGCCTAACAAAAACAACAAGCAATGACCTTTTTGCCTGAAAAAGAAGGGAACCCTTGTAACCAAGCAACATATTACTTGGGGTGATGCTTGTAATCCATGTGCTTGCTGCGTATGTCTTGGCAAGAGATACACACACAAGTTTTCTACAACTCTGCAGGATACGTGCATGACTCCAAAATTTAGAAACTTTGAAAACACAAACAACTATCTGAAACACACGCCCAAAATCACCTCATGAAGAAATTGTATGCTTTAAAATTTTACAAAATCAGAAAATCTTACGCAAAAGGACTTGAATAACCTGATCCTGTGTGAGAAAAAAAAAAGAAAGCCTGTTCAATTAACCTTGACTTGACACAATCCTGCCATGTTCTCAACCAAATTCATTCTCATGCGTTTCCAGCAAATGTGACTCATTATGCTCTCAGGATATGCAACTTGTGGTACGGTAAAAGAACACGGCCAAGAATCATCCAGCTAGTTTTCAGATATGAGTGGCTTTGATGGAACAGAGGAAACCTCCGGCGTAGCTTGCATCCACAAGCGGCAGGCGCTTGTAATGTGATGGTAACTCATCTCGACGGGGCTTTAATCCCACCGAGGTTTGATGTGCCCGCACTGACATAATGCATACCTGGGCTTGTAATTCACAGAAGATTTAAGCGGACACCACAAGTCTGGTGCCGTTACGACTTAATTGGCATCTTGTTGGCAGGTCTGTCGCCTGGACGGGATGCAAAGGTTTACAACGAGGCATTCCCAAAATGGCATCTTCCCTCTTCATAATTGACAAGGATTTCCCTCTGCTAATTTACAACTAGGCAAGTTGTAATTGCCTCCATTTATTTAAACTCTACTTTTCAAATTTCACAGTTGGAGTGTCTGATCACACCTCCCCACCCCAAGGCCCTTCTCTTGCTCCCCCCCCAATGAATCGGGTATAAATGACAAAAAGGAAACTTGCAACAAATGTCAAGGTTTAAGAAAATGCGATAGATTGGATCTGGCTGACGAAAGCTCCAGAGCGTCCTGTTACAAGAAGTGCAGCGTTGCCAGGTGGGAAATGTGTCAAAGTGGTTCCCCGTACGGAGGAACCAGCACGTTGGCACTGTATCAACAGTTCCAGATGTGTGGAGGGATCATTTGATGAAATGACTTAATTAACGAGGGGGAAGTGAGGTATTAATAGCTTAACAAGAATCTCAAACATCTGATACAAGTGCGATAATTTCTCTGCAAAAATTGAATGCAAGTCACTGCCATGGTATTTAGAAACTGGGCATCAAAAGTGAAGTCTTCTTAGAATCAAACATTACTCAGCAAAGTGCTCTTTACAGGGCGTTATAGCAATTTCCTGCCCCATCTTCAAAATGTGAAAACACGTAGACGCTACAGACACTGAAATCAAACACAAAAAAGGCATATGGATATGATTAATACTCTTATTAGGAAATAGGGCAAACGTCTTGTAGGATTACTGTCCAAGTATCTCTTGCTCCCTTCCATCAAACTCATTCAAATTTGTTTGAAAGAGAATGAGGTAAATGAACTTTTTGGGGGAAGGGGTGGGTGGGTGGGGGTGGGGTTACGCCGTCTGCAATGTGATTCATGCTGACAACTGAAACTTTCAGAGATATCTGAAATTGAAAACACCTGGCAACTCTCATATGGACCCCGAAAATAACTTTTTTTGAAAAAAAGAAATGATTCACCAGCACAAAAAAAAAAAAAAAAATAGGAACACGGAACATCAAAACGACGACTTTCACATTGCCTACATAAAGGAAGACAGTTACATGCATGGTCAGGCACTATTTGGATGTCCGTTCAGTTTCTAAGCTACTCTGCCGCAGACATGTACCACTCATGTTAACACTTCTCTTGAACTGCAGTGATGATCTATCAAACACCTCCTCGGCTCTCTTGAATCTCTTCACAAGAACAGAGTGCAAATACCTAAATACATGTACAAGTACTTTTGGCTGTGAGCCCATGGACACACTGCAAATAATGGCATAGAGTAAGAATGTGCATAGAAGGAGACAAGGGTCTATCTGCTCCGAGCGGGGACAAAAGAGGGCGTGTTTTCAAATGAAAATGTGCGTTTAGCCTGGGGCATGTTGAGTACATGCACGAATTTACGCTGGAATGTATGGTCTTCACGTGTACGCTGAATGCGCGCAAAGGACCCAGTTGGAAAACTTAATACCAGCCTATCTTTCATTTGCCAGTGAGGGTGCACTTCAACCTGGGGCACAGTTCAAGTCCTCTTCAATTCCTGGGCACAGCATTCAATTTAGTCATCATTACATGAGAGAGAAGAACATCAAAGGAATTACTGACAACATGTGAAGAAATGACCACAGACACAAAAAAAAACGCTTTGTCACGTCAGGCGTGGACAAACATGTTCCCTGTTGATAGAGTAGACTCTGCACTCTTATCTGCACCTTATAGTTCCCCTGTACTGATTGGCTGCAGGCAAAGACACTGTAAAAGGGTTCATTTCTAACTGGCTAGTCAAGATTGCCTTAAATTAGTGGCCGGGTGGTGCTGTCAGAAGTATGAGATGGCACTTTGCCACAATGTACATGTACATGTAGGTGGATGCTCCCTGGTTGCTGCGACAGCCTTCCGCAGACCCTAATCCCATACATAGCCAGGTATACGCGATGCTCCCGGCTATCAGCCTGTTCTGCATGACACTATTATGGGGTCTTGTGCATAACAGAGCATCTTTAACAAGTCAGTTCCCGTCCTGACTTATTCCCTACCGGCTGACCCACGTCAAGATTGCCTCAATGCCTATCCAGGGAAGAATCTCAAATGGCTAAAACTACGATTTTCCTCTTATCAAAGAAGACACCAGAAGTTAGGGGCGGGCTGTGGGCTCCAATTTAAGCGTTGCTGGAAGTATAAATCTGGACAGCTAACCCTCTTGGAGGAAACGTAAGCTGGCCAATGTAACATGAATGTCCCAAGCCGAAGTTGAAAGTTTGAATATTTGTGTTTTATCACGAGAGAGCACACCGTTGAGGATGAAGTGAAATTAAAGATCATTTCAGATTTGAGGGAAACTCCAGACTAAAATGAGTTCACAGCATTTTGTTCTGCAGCAGGGTCATGTAACGATAATGACATGTATAACAGACTTTACAATAAAAAAAGCAGATCACTACCTTTTGATGTTGACAATCCGTGACTGTTGACAGCAGACAGGTTGTTTCGATGAGGTGAGTTCAATTTGAGTGTACTGCTTTGCTCTTTGGCTATCCTTTGTGAACTCGTGAGCATGTCATTCTCGAGTCTTTCAACTGTGCTCATCATGCGACTCATCTCTGACCTATCACAAACAGAGCTCAATATTTAAAATCTCACAAAGAATGCATGCATGTTCATTGTTATCATTCACAAACAAGCATTATTACTGTCGATATCTATGCAAGATTTTAGTAAATGATTCCTTGGATTTGACACTTTGAGTGCCTGACTGTTATAATTTCTGAACTTTAGAGTGACATCAAGCGTGCATACAAACCGATTTGACAGTCACAGATAACCAGAGTTGTAGAATGTGCACGTCTTTTTTGCTCCACTCCCAACAACTTAGGACCAAGATGCCCTTCTGCCAACTTCAACCTGCTGCTGCGATGGTTCACTTTCCACATTCAGTAAGTTTCACATTTCCAGGTGAGTTCAATTCATCTTGGATTAATGGTTTTGAGGAAAACAGTGCTCCAAATTGTGGCTTCAAAACAACTCAACTCTTGTGTGTCAAACCAACGTACTGTATAGGACTCTGCTCTGCTCTAGGTTTAGCTTGACGTGATATACAACGGAAGCTCCCAAGACCGGCAATAGTTTCGTCGGTCAAGACTCACTGTAGTTGCAGCAGTTCTTGTTCGCTGGTCTGCTTGCCTAGTAAGGTGTGACTCAACTCTCTGGAATGGCTGCGCTGTGAGTCAGCTATGCTGGTTAGTGTCTGCAAAAATGAACCAATCAAATCCTGAGGGAATGGAGCAACCATTTTAAATTGGACCAATCAGCAGCCTGTTTTCATTATGCTTTTTGATGCAACAGACTCGTCACATATGTAACAGTCTGTCCCATTACTTCCAAGTCGGAATCCTATTTTGGGCCCAATTAACTCACAGATTCAAGAAAAGATAGGGATAGATTTTGACACGTAATGGCAAGAATGAAAATACTCCAGAAAAGATGTAATTTTCACAGTGTATCTTGCTTGACAACACTCCTTTGTCACAACAACACCGGCGGAAGAAGGCGATCAAAGACGAAGATACAAGCATTTTGTTTGGAAAAATGATTTTGGGTCAGTTCTTCACAGCATCACACATGAATGAAAACGTCATTTGACTATTTCTCAGTCTGCTCAACACTGAAAGATTGAAGGCAGCAGAACAAATAAAGAACAACAGACCTTCATCTTGTCAGGCTGGTTGGAGAGGCTACCAATATCCTTGAGCAAAGTCTGATCTTACTCTGTCCATGTGATCCATCCTTCTACTGAAGTCTTTCCCATCAGCCTGGTTGTTGCCAATATCAATCTCTTGCCTCATAAGTCTTGTGTTCAGGCTTTCAATGTCTCGCCGGCACAGGGCAAGATCTTCTTGCATATGTCGTTTGCTGCAAAAGGCCGAACACATCCAGCAAAACTCATCAAGCAAAACAAGTGCAAAGGTTTCAGAGAACTACAGTTCAACACAAAACTATCTTTAGTCAACCTGATTTGTACGGAGCCTTTTTAAAGTTTTTAAAGTGGAAGAAATTTGCCGATTGGTTACTGACGGCATCAGATTCAAGTAGACTCACTTTGTCTCATGGAAAAAATACTGTGTTCAAGAATATCTACAAAACAATTTTTCTTCGTGTATATTCCTGCATTTTGAAGGCACGATACATTTTTACTGAAACATTTTCACTCTAGCAACTTAACTCAAATAGGTCAGGGTAATCACTTCTGTTCAGTTAAAATCAATGGCACATTCCATTTCTTTATTATTCATATTTGTTGGAACTTCTGAAACTTCCAAACTTTCTCAGGGGATTATTGATACATGACAGACACGTCAAAACATTCCTTGCTCTGTTTAGAACAATCTTTTACATATGAGCTTCTTTACTTGGGAATATTCTTATTATGTTCCCAATTGAAGTGGGTGATTCTTGAGTACATTTAAAGCATGCCACCCAGTGCCTCTACAAAGTGACAACAGGCGTTTCCAGGCTGTTCTCAGTTGGGGCAGAAAGCCTACCCAATTTGGAACCATTTTCAGGTGAGCGACTCGAACCAATCTTTGTTATTCTCAAACATTCTGCAACTGCACTCACAAGTCATGGACCTCCCTGGTCAACGAATCCAGGACCTCGTCGCCGCGGTAACCTCCACCCGAAGCATTCCTGTGCTGTGCCACCACCTGGCTCTGCAAGTCACCTAGCTGCAGCGTGACCTCTCGCTTCCACCCCTCTACCTTCCGTTCTGTCTCCAGCTGGACTCCGCCCTCTTGAAGGCGGCGGTTGAGCAAGGTCAGCTCCTGGTCCAGGCGTTGGAGATGGGTCTGGCTGCGGTCTCTCTCCTTCTCTAATGCATCCACCTGCCTGCTCAGAGTCTGTATGGTCTGTGAACAGAAAAATGATGGGTTGAGAAGAAAGGTGATCTCAAAAAAAACCTTTGGTTAGACAATTCAGAAGTCAGAAAGCTGAGACTTTGGGCAGTTTTTTTTTCAGTTTTCCATGGCATGCATGAGACGTGCAATACAAGGATATCAGCTGGTCTAGGGAGCTTTTTAGATAATTGCACAAAATACAAATTGCCAAGTGGGACTTAAAGACATGTATTGAAACATGAAACATGAAAGTCCCAAAGATGCCAAACCTACTTTTGCCTGATTGTCAATCTTTTCAGTCAGCATGGCGACCAGAGCCGGTGACTCGGCCAAGCTGCTGGGGGCAGACTCTCCCTCAAAAGATGAACCGTGAGCAAAGGGGCTCTGGTAGCCAGAGTGAGGTTGCCATTCACTCCGACCTGTGTAGTCAGTTAGATATGACGACGATGTCATATACCTTCGGGGTAGGGTGGACGATTTGACTGAAGATGCAAAACAGAGTAAGCTCTTAACGTCAAGGCAACAAAATGTTGGTGATGTGATCATCAGCGTTAATTTGGATCCATTGTGAAGTGACGTACTGTACCACGCCTGGATGTCATTTAATGTCACACAGTGCGTGGACATCATTCAAATGTGACCCCATGGTATACCAACTATACAAAATACATTACTCCTTAGTGTGAGGCACACCAGGTGGTTGGCTGTGATTGCGTGAGACTTCAAATCTGAAGCTAAAACCGACTTTTTCAATTGGAGAGAATCCAGTCAATGATAGGCACCATGAATACAGGCTTTGCGTGGTAGCCATCTTGCAAGGCAGTTTTGTTCCACAGAGAAACCACTTTTACGCATACCCTGTGGAAAAAAAAGCACCAGCCTGCAAGATGGCAGCCATGCAAACCCTCTATAGAATCACTCTGCAACTTCTTATTTAAAATAAAGAACTCAAATTGTTCTATCACATATGCACTGTGCAGCAACATGCAAAATGTCTCTGTCAGTGTAAATTACTCCTTTCCAGAGTACAGATGACATTCAGTAACCAATGAAAATTGGTAAACAACTGAGAAGATGACATAATCAGTTGATGCATCTGAATTACGAGAGTAAATAAAAACACAAGGGAGCTTTTGACTGCATGATGTACCAGTACAAAAAATACCCATCAGGGCATAATTTTCCCAAAGATGAGCATGCCAACCACTCACCAGAAAATGAGCTGATCGGGTGACTGTTAGGTAGACTTTTATGACTATATCTCGAGTCATTCAGACTTCGCTGTAAAAAGAAAAAATTGTCACTGTGAAAAAATTAAATTGCAGCTGGGAATCTTCTGCTCCTAGTCTATAGTCTATAAAAGAAATAAAATTCACTTGTTGACCAACTGACAGGTACGAGTGGCTAGCAGTGACCCCAGGACACGTCAAATTTCAACAGGGAAAGAGTTCCCTATACAGACAACACCTGATGCCCCTGTGCACAAGCCTGTGAGACATGTCTCACAGTGTTTTCTAAGTAAATGCCTCAGAATTTTCTAAATGGCCTAAATGTCACTTCTTGGGACATGTTGTAACATTTTAAGGAAAAATTAGTATTGTCAATACACTGAGCTCTTTTCTTCAATAGGATTCACAGCTTGGAAAGAGGGTTGGGTTTGATTTTTGAAGTAAATTATGACCTGATATCACTACTATTAGGCCTTGGCTAAATTTGCATTAAAAACCCCGTAACATTACTGATGTGGCATGCCTGGAGTGTGTTCCATGTCTACCCATCATAATTCTTGAGTTTTAGGCCAATTGACAAAAACACACTTTTAAAAATTATGATCCAAACATGCTAAAAACAACTTGTCCCCGAACAACATAAGTCTTCCCAGGGCAAGCTGAAAATGGACCTATCTTCAAAGTTAAGTCACATGAATTTGTTGTTTAGAACTCTCATTATGCTGATGAATCTTGACAAAGTGATAGGCCCACTGAACCATCAAATTCATCATGTTCAAAAGTTAGTCATGATCTGCCAATTTGTAGGGTCCTACAGGCCCCTAACCTTTAGTAGGAGGGGGTGCGAATCCTCAATGAAGTGGACCGAGCATAGCTCTTTTGCTTTCTATTTTGAAAAACAGCAGGATTCATGAGGCCACCCATTATTTTAGGGAGGCTACAACTTAATGTTAGCAGGCATAAGCTTAAGTTAGTAGGCATATAAGTAGGCCTAGTTTGTGCCCAAAAATTGCTGTACGTTTCGGTATTTTTAGTCTCGGTCCATTCCCCCTTCAGGACAGCAGGATTAAGGGAGTTAATACTAGCTGCTATAGCCTACACCATCATGACCATGTAGGCCTAGCTCAAAAGTTTTCTTGCCTCAAAAGTGGTCCTTTTAGTTGCGTAGGAGGGGGCAGACGAACCCCCTGCACCCCCCCAGTTACGGGTCTGTCCGAACTTTGGTTATGCCTAGTTTCTATTTCTTTTTCCATTATCAGACTAAGGCCTAAAGTTATTCAACTCCCTATCGCATGTATAAATCACTGAGTTATCGAAAACCATCATAGCGATGGTAGTCACAGTGACAGGTCTTGAAAACATTAGTCCTCGGCCTACCCGAACTCTGGCGAGATTAGACTCCGTTTCTTGGACTATACTGGTAAGATTATGCTCCCAGTCTCTCGACATCTTCCTTGTGTTTCTATGTGATTGAGAACACGAAAAATTGTCAAAAATCAGCTCGCAACACGAACAAGCACGACCACAATTAGTCGGTCGTCGGTGGTATGCGAATCGCCATTTGTAAACACCTGGTTTGAATTCACCTGAAGAGGGCGCTATTTGATTTTCCCATAGATCTCTGATTTTTCCTCGAAAATCTAATTATCGTGTCTTTATGATCGGTAAACCACGCAAGGAGGTTATTGAGTAGCTGCAATGAATATTTCTCAGACACAATTTTCTGCAACTTTGTACTCCTCTTCACTGAATGAAAACTCTTTTAAATTCTTATTTGTTAAATACACTTAAAATTATCCATACTTTCCCAAACAACTGAGGACGCTGATGCTGTGATGTCATCCAAGAAAAACAAACTTCAGTGCACAGCTTTGCTTTTCCAATTGTAAACCCAAAATTTACACACTGAACACATTTTTGAGAATGGAATTGATGCTTGCTTACTGCTGTGCACATGAACAACAATGAATCAGCAAAGAAGAGAAAATTTAGTCGAGCAAAAAAAAGCAAAATACAGGGTTTTTTCATGTACAAACAATGTTAATATTAGGGCTTTCTTCCTGAGATTACATCACAGTTTTGCTCATGAATATACAGATGCTCATTAGTATTAAAACCAAAATGGCTGTTAAGAAACCTTGAGACATAAAATGTATTTTGAGGGTTTGTATCAAAACAAATTGATTGCAGCTACTCTTAAAGTTTTACGACTTTTATAGGTCTTCTGAGCATGGGCATTTGCAGAATTTTTTTCTGGGCGGAGAGGGTCGACACTTTTTCAAGGGAATTTCCGGGAGGGGAGTACTTGGAGCAAATTTGAGATTTTCCCCCCATCGTCCTTTTTTAAAATTTCTTTCAACGCCCCCTTTAATTTTTCATTTATTTCAGGGATGGGGGAAAGTGGAACCTGTATTGCTCAGCTCCTAAGCCAAGATACTGTTTGCATTTTAAAAAAATTTAGTGAGGATTAAACTAATTTTTCTTTTCAGGAATTATTCGAAAATCTCCTTTTCCTAAATCCTGCCTGAAATGCAAAGTTTGACCAAAAAATAAACTGTTACTACAAAATTTTAATATTCCCTAATGCAATCAAAGCCAGGATCACTCAAATTTTTCCATGTGATAAAAATGTTTTTATTTGACAGTTCAGTCTCACTGGGGCTATATACACTTCCTACACAACAAAAACACGGAAATTTAATTATATAGAAAATATGTCTTTGCAATGTGCATAATTCCAACTACGAATTTGAAATGATCATTTTTGGTGAATACAAAGTGTTAGCTTTGCATATACATCACATGAAAATTCAAGCCAGAAACACAAATGGATTGCATTTCAATTGCCAAATTGTCTTTGGTAAAATTATCCCAGGATTAAGCGACAGCACTTGTTGGTGGGACCACTGCATTCCCTTGTTTAAAATGCTAAATGACCATATTCAGCAGGTGATAAAACAATGGACAAGTTTTTTTTCCAGAAAATGCCAGAAATTCTGATTTCTCACTTAGATCTAATTGTTGAGTTGTTTCCCTTACCCATTTGAAAAGAATAAACTTCAAATATTCTAAACTAACAACTCTACCGAAACATCTCATTTCAAACTAATAAGTTACACCAAAAGTGAAGAATTAAAAAGTGTCACTGCTAACTGATTCTAAATAATAATAATAAATGACTGATATATTAAAAAAAAAACACAGTGGATTTGAAGACGAAAGTTGGCAGAAAACTGATAAAAAAGAACTTTGCAGAGCAGGGCTGAACACCTGACAAAAGTTGAAAGAGCAGTGAAGAAAAAAAACAAGGAAGACACAAAGTAAAGGACAGAATGAAATGAATAAGAGAAAAGAGAAGAAAATCACCAATAAAGGGGATACTAACTAGAGGAAAGTTAGATGGTAACGGACTAGGATGAAACAAAATATAACATTCAAGAAAATAGAAACAGAACAGAAAAACAATAGTTGGACACAGCGTCACAAAATAGCAACACAGAACTAGGTATGCCAGCACAGAACAGAATGGAATTTGAAACAAAGCAACAGAATACAACATAGATTCAACAGCACAGAGTTTGCAACAAGTCATGAGAAAAAGGACTTCAACACGTACAAAACGAGCAACACAACAAAATGGGACAGCGCAGGTTGAAGCAAAGACCACTTCTATAGATCTTTTTGCTGTGATGTCTCGATCGTGCTGGACTGCAATGTGTTGTGATGGTAATGAGTGCGTAGTGCTGTGATGATAATCTACCTATTCAAGGTGAACTAGCATTCGCACGTTCGCTTGCACGTGGTTGAAGCTGCCCGTAGAAATATATGCGATCACTGTGGCCAGGGCAGTCCACATGTGGTGGTACTGTTTACATTTAGAGCATTCCAGTCACGTGGGTGAAAATGGTCTATTGCTGAATTGCTGAAAGCAACAGATTACAATCAAAACTATTCAACAATTGCCTTTTCATGATGTACCACCTCATGCAATATACCTCTTTTGGGCTACTGTCCTCAAATAGCACACGGAAGCAACACAATAAAGCATCCAACCATAATAATTTCTCTGCAAAAGAATGCAATAAATAACCAATTTACAACTATTTACTGAACTATAACAAAGAAATACAGAGAAAGTTAACGAGCTTACTGCATGTTCCTATAGAACACAAGGTTGTGCAAGTTTGACGCTATTTCTCAACAGAATCACACCAACTCACTGTGCTCCATGTTGACCACACGAGGTGTAATGTACATGCAGATGGCCCTTTTATTAATATTAATTAGCATGACTAGAAATAAATTCCATGCTGGAACATGCCAATCTGACGAGAATGCTTGCTGGTGTGACAAACATATGCACAGGACACCACAGTGCCAAACAATCTGACGGCTCACACAGCTCAAAGTCACATATATGCTACAGTTCCAGAAACATTATTGTCAGCTTATCTTGGAGTGGTGATGGGCCTGAACCAACCATCCAGGGAAGTCTCATTTAGCAATTTTAAAGTTTCCTTTAAAACCCCTGACTTTGCTGTTCATGTACACAGTTACCAAGGCAAATTCTAATGGTATTAATGCTCAAATCGAGAGAAACATTACAGAAACTGAAACTTTTCCACTCCGCGAAGGAAAAGAAAGTTCAAGAGATGTGATTTCAACAGCGTTCGGTCAAAACCACACTCTCCTCTCCAAGGAAACCTTGACAGAAAATAAACCCATGGCTTTGAACCCTAGATCTGACAGCATCTTTCCTGAATGCTCCAAAACTCCTCAACTCTGCAGGAAACCAATGACACATACTTGGTCATTTGACTTTCAAGAGACACCAACCCAAACGATAAGTACAGAACTGCTCAGCTCTACCTTCCTAAACTCTGTCATAAAATCCCTACAAAACCAGATGGATTTTGCAAGATTTTGAAAGATCTGGAAACAACCGCAGCCGACCTTCATAACAGTTCTCGGTTTGGCTGTAATTTGAGCAATCAATTCCTTCTGATCTGTGTTTTCCCATTCCAAAACCAGAAATCACAACCTGTGCTTCTCATAGAACCTTGACAGTGCATGCAAATTCCATCAAAATCCATCACTAAATTATTAGACAATACCATACACTGTATATACATGTTCAAATTTACAATTGGCTTGAGCAAACCTGTACATTGCTTACCATTACATGATTACCTTAAAAGTTGTACAAAATAAATTTTTTTAGCACCATTTTGAAAATATTGACTGTACATATGGGCAGCGGTATGTCAATACTAGTTCTACATCTGAGTGGATGTTACTCCGTCAAATAAGGTAATGACTATCCCTGGAACGCCGTTATTTTAGAATGTTAAAAGAGTGATAACAACATGTTGACCAGTGAAGTCAGAGCTCTAACTTCTAGACTGGCTCCCAATCCTTCCCTTTGAAGTTTCAAACACAATGGGAAGAGTGGTACCAGCCTATCTCACTGGACTCTTTCTTCCCTGGTATATCTCAATTCGCAAAAATGTAAACGACTGTACACATACAGTGTGAGGGGAACCAGTGAACTTTAAGTGCCCTTCAAGGAGCCAGTTCAGTGTTTCAAAAAAGCAAGGTCATATGGGACGCGCATGAGCACGTTTACAGCTGTGCTAATAGAGTAGACCTCACATGTGGATCTGAAATATACCCCAGCCGCGCTTCATTGTGAGCATACTCCGTTGGAAAACTGAACAGGCACATTGCTCCCAACCTTGGGTACTAAAGTACCGTTTTTAGTGTTTTCTTAGAGTCTACAGAAGTTGGATTCATTCTGCCTAGTAGCTATTAATCCTTGCAGTTAAGCTTTGAGACACTGCAGTTCCTGACCTGTAAATAACCAGTTTAAGTTTTAAAAAGTTACCTGCCGCTTCCCCAGAAAATGTACTGCTAGCAAATCTCTATGCTTTGGAAGTTAAATTTAAAAAATCATGATTCCATGGCCGTGGTGTAATGCTGATGTCCCTTTTGGACACCCATTCATGTAAAGTTCATGCTTCCAAAACAAAATACTTGGCAGTTTCATAATAGTATTATTAATATTAATAAAAACGATATTTCTGATTATTTAGAAACCCCGATGTAGAGCGCCCTCTGTTGCTCCAACTGATTAAATTTGGTCAAGAGGAATGTTACTTGGGAGGGACATTTCAAAAAGTTGCCACTAGTAACTCTTTGCATGTGCACCTGGAATACAATTTGGGCTCGCTTTCAAAGAGATGATACGCTAAAAAAACAATGCTCAGAATGTTTATATCCCCAGCCAAGACCCCAGATGGGAACTAGTCACACGAAATTCACAAAGTGAGACTAATAGGCTGGTAACCCACTTTTGCTGAGCAGTTGTTTTGTTAGCTTAGCAAGCACTGTGGATTTAGAGGTTTTTCTTGACAACTGCATATGAACTTCGAGATTTACCAAAAAAAAAAAGTTCTAGCTTTCCCAGAGTTATCAAAAAAAAAGTTTGCAGAGAGTGTAATGTTTCAGTTTGCTGTAAATTTGCATTGAAATTAATACTGTTATTCCGACAAAAACAAACTGAAGACTTACATGTTACAAATGGTGAACACCATAACAAGTACAAAACAAGGCTCCCCCCACAATAAGGGTTCGCACGCGAGTTTTTTCTCTCTATTTGCTACATTTTAAATTTGCAGGAGGCATGAACCAGCCTCAAGGAATTTAAAGCTGAAGTCAAATCCTTTGACTCACTTGGATTTGATCTCCGTGACCTCCAGATGAGGTCACCGGCTCAAGTCCTGTGGCAGTCAATTTCAATAACTATCTTACTAATCAGGGGCATAATTTGGGTGGAATTTCTAGAGAGGCACGCAGGGGGGAAGGGGGAGGGGTTTGAACAAATTTGTTTGGGAGATGGGTGGGGCACCGAAAGCTATCAGGGTGGGGATTATGCATCGGCTGTGTACAGTTTATAATTCAAAATTGGGGGGACCTGGGCGGTGGTGTGTTACTGCTAATAATGATTAAAGGTCAAATGGTTAGATTCCCACATGCTTTAATGACCTTACATTCTAATTCAAAATGCAAATAAGCAAGCACCCCCCAATAAAATAAGTATATAATAAATAAATAAAACTTTAACAACATTAATAAAATCCAGACTGTTTTTTAAGCCTCTCCTGTTGTAAGTGCCAAGTTATCTCCTTGACAATGATCCCGTATAATTCTCAGCCTAAGCGCCACAACCTACCGATGACAGAGACAACAATCTTGACTGGTCTCCACCATCACGAGACGAGGCACCCACTCTCCTCCCCCTCCTTGTTCGGCCCCGCCTCCTCAAATACCTCCTCCTGGGACAGCTCGTGCTCCGAGATGGCCCCGCTGCCGTGGGAGGCCAGCCGCTTGATCTCCTGGTGGCCCACCGACTGGTCCGAGGTGGAGGAGGTCCGGGAGTGGGGCGTGTGGGGAGGGGTGACAGCCTTCTCCACCGCCTCGGCTAGTACCTGGGCCTGGGGACGGATGGCTACAAACAGGGGCTTGTATCCTGGACTGTGAGGGGGAACGACACAGAAACTTGATGAATGATCCGTAGTACTTAAACCCTACCAGATGTAGCACAGTGCATCTGATGAAAAAAGTCTGGCGCACTGGACAATCAACAGCAGCCGAACAAACTGGCCATGTTGAGACAATGGGAGCTAGTCCCATTGAACAATGCCACTGATGGATCTAATGGTGACCGGCAACCACAGACTCCCCGGCCGTTTGGCCTTGGAGAGAGTCAACCTGTTGGATCTTGTGGTGACTAGCAACCACAGACTCCCAGGCCGTTTGGCCTTCGGGAGAGTCAACCTGTTGGATCTTGTGGTGACTAGCAACCACAGACTCCCAGGCCGTTTGGCCTTCGG